AAAATGACCTCCAGCAGCCCACTGGTGTGAATGTCTCTGACCAAACAATCACTGCATGAAAAGTGAGAATTTCGTCCCCGTAAACCCCCGTAAACTCCCCGCAGATCTGCCTGATTTTCGTCAGTTTTCCGACAATTTGCAACCCGTGCTTGTCCGCGTTTGTCGTGCCACAAATTGTCGAAACGGACTCTGACGTATGTGGAGAGTGATCAGCTGTACTAATGGCCCTAATTAGCATATGAATGCAGCAAACCCCCCGCGCGGCTGGCCAGGTCTGGCTTGAATAACCTACTCAGTATTGGCTGAAACCACTATTCTCAAACAAATGAAATCGCTAGTGATTGGCAGCAAAACCAAACGTGGCCACTGCCAGGCTTTAATTTTCTTACTGAGTATTGGACGGAACCACTTCTTTTTAAACAAGTAAAGTCGCTCGTGATTGGTTGGCATATATATATATTTACAATATAAATTTACATATATATATATTATTCATATATATATATATATATAATATATTTATTCATTCATATGGTGTGTATTTATGTTATCCTATACTACTACACAATTATTATGCTACCACAAGGACATGAATGAATAATTTATACAGGAAATGAACATTTGCCGGGAAGCTGTTTATGCAAAGAAAGAGCTTTATTAAAAACACACACAACTATATACAACGCGTATCCAAACACATGCGTTTCTAAAAATTACAACTCCATGAACGGTCCGTTTGCTTCCTCGGGTTGGAGGTAACTGGCAGCATTCCCTCCAGGCAGGTCCGATGTGCAGACGCCTACTGTGCGTGGCTCTGTACTTCGGCATCGCTTCTAACCGGGACTGCAGCTAACACATAGTTCAGTGAGATCCGGCCACGAAATGGCGGCGACCGTACAAATCCGGAGTTTCCACTTCCTCATCGCTAGCACACTCTGCCTCGCTTTCAGCAGCTGAAAAAAAAACAATGAATCAGCGCACTGCGTATGGACAAAACACATCTATCAATGCACCTGAAAAATAGTCACCAAATAAAGTCTTACCTTCTTTCTTCTGGCCCGACTCCGAGCAGATTGCCTCCGCACACAGCGTGTTGGCTGGCTGCGTATATCTGAAGCTCCTGCGTACCGTCTGAAAATACGTCTTACAGGCAGCTGGAAAACAATTAAATGAGAGCGGTATAAATAAAAAATCAAACGCAAGTCACAGTAACAGGGAAGAAGAAAACATTAAAACAAGTCACTTACACACAATGTCGTCTTTATCAACATCGTGCAAATCTGGACTTGCTGATATGGCTCCCAGCAAATAGGAGGTCACCGCCTCATTGTGAGGCGACAGTAGTCTGTGAAAACAAAATGTAAAGCTATGATCGGTATCTATCCGTATCCATTGCCTTTTACCGCAGAATGAAAGCATATTCTTTAAATCTTACCCTTGCTCCGGTTCATAGCGCCTGCAATTAGTCTCCGAGTTGTGAAGACGGCGTACTGCTTCCTGTGAATCACAAAAAATACACTTTAATAAAGCTTGTTCTTGCAAGGCTACTATTAGCGGTAGCTTAGGCTAGGCTGCTTTTAGCCTAGCAGGCAGTAATCGAACATATATTTACCGCTAGCATCTCTTCTTTGAGTTCGTCTTGTTCGATGCAGAGTCGCCATCACGTCCAAGAGGAGTTTTACCCCCGAAATCCAGACGCTCCAGACCGCCTGCACAAAGCAAAGCATACATCCTCCACTATGGCTGCTCACCGCGCCGCTCTGAGTTTCTTGGAGATCGTAGAGCGCATGCGAGAGATGAACCAGGGTTTCCGCGGATCAATAAAAATAATTAAAAAATCATTCATTTTTTTAAATCAAGGCCTTAATTGGCACTAAAATTATTTAAATATGTTTATCGAAGTATTTATAATTCTTTAATAAAAAATGCTTATAAAAACAATTTCGTCAGATATATTATATCGCTCCAGGCGGAGAAAAAGCTAGAGGATATATATACGTATATATGTGTGTGTGTGTGTGTTTTTACATACATACAGGAGTCATGGAACTGTGCTTACAGATCCTTCATATTTCATGTACACTAATAACTTGTGTACATGGTTCTTGTTGATGGCATTAAAATCATTTCAAATAGCATTAAATTAGAGTCACTCATTCCTGTATGAACCCTGTGAGCGCTTAATTTAATATGACATATTAAAAAAATCCCACCGTCATCCAGCATATGTTCAGTTTCTGCCCAAATATATATTTATATTTTTGTAGATTTTTGTAACGGGGATAAGGATAATTCAAAACTGCTTTTTTTGAATGAACTTGTTCTCTTCTCCCAAACATCTCTTTTCATTCCTGTAATAAGAAGTTTCTTTTGAATGGATTTGATTAAAGTTTAAGTCCCTCGGTATAAAATAAATATTTTTATGGAGATGAGAAATCTGCTTCCTCGTTGGTGAATAACCAATAGTTTGGATCCAATCATTTAAATAAACGGTGTTAGTTTTTTTTTTAATATATAAGAATTATGCTATAATTTCTAGTCATCTAGTCATCATCTGTTGCTGCTATATTTTAATTTGACGAACCGGAATTTGTCGATGTTCTTTTTCCTGTTTGGTGCGATTGCAATTGCGGATCTTGGCCTGGCCGGACCTTATGACCACAGTGTACCAATCTTCTGATGGCTACTTCCAACAGGATAATGCGCCATGTTATAAAGTGAATCATCTCAGACTCATTTCTTGAAACTTTTCCACTTAAGTTATTGTGAATTGAGCATATTGACAGACAACATTTTATTTTTTATCTTAAATGCAATTTTTTTTTTTTTTATAATTACTGCTCTAAATGTATTGCTCTGTCAGCTAAAGATCTGTTTTGGTCTCTATACTTTAATTAAATAAATCAATTCAAGCTAAAATGTAAGAGGCTATACTGAGCCTGATCTCTTTGTATCAGAGATTTTCTTACCTTTTAGAAAAATGTCACTTGGAGTAAAACCCCCCCTGCAACCCTGATTTGCATTTGTATAGCTCACAGCATGTTCATTTACATGTTAAAGCCTCCCCTAGAATTCCATGGGGGGGAGGCATGGGGGGAACACTGCCTAACAAAGTCCACGTCAATTTCTGACAATTTACGGGAGTTTTCGGCGAAGCCTGCAAATTGTCGTAAACTGCCGCTAACCTGAAGTTCCACGACAATCTACAGTGCCGCATATTGACGAAAATCCCACTTTTCATGCAGTGAATCAGAAACAGACTTCACGAGGGTGGCCTGAGGGCCCGACATCCTCTAGTGGGCCCTGTGCTCACTGCCCGGCACCATAGAGCTCGATTGGCATTTGCCACAGAACACCGGAATTGGCAAGTCCACCACTGGAGCCCTGTGCTTTTCACAGATGAGAGCAGGTTCACCCTGAGAACATGTGACAGACATGAGAGGGTCTGGAGAAGCCGTGGAGAACATTATGCTGCCTAGAAAATCGTTCAGCATGACCGTTTTGGTGGTGGGTCAGTGACGGTCTGGGGAGGCATATTCATGGAGGGACGTACAGACCTATACAGGCTAGACAACGGCACCCTGACTGCCATTAGGTTTTGGGATGAAATCCTTGCACCCATTGTCAGACCCTATGCTGGTGCAGTGGGTCCTGGGTTCCTCCTGGTGCACCACAATTCCCGGCCTTAAGTGGCGAAAGTATGCAGGCAGTTCCTGGAGGATGAAGGTACCATTGATTGGCCCCCACGCTCGCCTGACCTAAATCCAATAGAACACCTCTGGGACATTATGTTTCGATCCATCCGATGCCGCCAGGTTGCACCTCAGACTGTCCAGGAGCTTAGTGATGTCCTGGTCCAAATCTGGAAGGAGATACCCCAGGACGCCATCCGTCATCTCATTAGGAGCATGCCCCGACATGGTCAGGCATGCATACACGACCATACCAATGACTGAATACCATTTTGAGTTGCTGCAATGAAATTTCACCAAAACGGACTAACCTGCCGCATAATTTTTTCACTGTAATTTTTGGGGTGTCTTTAATTCAGCCTTCTGTAGGTTGATAATTTTCATTTCCATCAAATGACGTGGCATCCTTTTGTTCCTAACACATCACCCAGTCCATATCAGTATAAATAAACAGCATTATTATTTTTTTTTGCCACAATGAGATCTGATGTGTTTTCAAAGTGTTCCTTAATTTTTTTTTAGCACTGTATATTCTGCTGTAAAATGAGTCTTATCGGGCTACATTGAGTTTCACAGCCCCCCTCCTCAGCCACGCTCTCTCTATTCCTCTCCTGGTTGCAATCTTCACTCACTGTAGCAGCAACCTCTCCCTCTTTGGTCCTTTGACAGAACGTGTTTATTTTAGGAAGTTTTTTCCGTTCTTCCAGCAAGTCTTTTTTGCTTTTTTTTTTTTTCTGGAATCTGCTTAAGTAGGCTACCTCTTTTTGGTATCCATCGTCCCTACCACATTGTACGTAATGGTTATGCTTATAATCAATGCTCAGGACTACCCATAATTCCAAGTTGTATTGTAAAAAATAAAATTCTCAAATACATTGCTCTTTTAAGGTCTTTATTGCGGTTTGAAACATATTATATGAGTGTATTTTTTACCAACCGTGTAATGAACTATACATAGTTATTAACATTAAAAGTACCACTGTCTGCTGTGCTATTGGGTGTAAGAGCAATTTTTTGCACCATAGCGTTTGCAAAGAGACGTCCTAGTCCACAATTGCGTAGGGGAACCACCAGGTGTCAGTGACGGGGCCCCCAAGAAATCAGGGGCCCCTAAGCAACTGCAGTCTCCGCTTAACGATATATACGCCATTGGCTACTACTTTAAATCATATTTAATGAGGAATAGGTTTAAAGAACATATAAATGCAGCCAAAAAAGAAAGAAACAAGCTGAACATTTTTATAAAGTCAAGTAAATCTCTGGAACTACTGCTGCAGCCCGTCGGAACTTTAAAGCGGGACACACAGCGGAAGTAAACAAAAAAAAATAAATAAAAGAAAATAGCATTCTCATATTGGAGTCTAGGAAAATGGTTCACATTTAATTAGACCACTATGCCTTCAGCTGAGTGTTTGAGGCAGTTCGTTAACGATCGCCTGGCTGCGGCGGCTGAAGAGATAATCAGTGTGTTTGAGAACACCATCGCTGGCTATGAAGAAGAGCTGAGCCGTCAGCGCAGGCTGCTCAGCATCGCCTGGAAACCCCAAGTAAAGTTGCACAGGGCAGGTATGGAATGAAATGCAGCATTGCAGGGTAGTAAAACATGCTTGATCATGAGGTTATAAATGAGTTTACATTAGTAGAGGTGTTGTGTTTCATCATCGTATATAAAGCCTTTTTATTTAATTGACCGAACGCTTATAGAAAAAAAATCCAAAAACACACTTCTTAGGCTAATCTTTTTTTTTCTTTTCTTTTTTTTTTTTGCAAGTAGAGAAAGTCTGCTTCCACAACAAGCTTTAGGTAAAATCAGAGAATTTAATGAATCACCAAGCTATAAACAGCGAGGCTGGTGTTGGCATAATCATCAGAGTCGATCAGATGACAAATATCTAATTTTTGCAAATAAGAAAAGGCAAAGACATAAATAAACAAAATATTGAGACTTATCCAAAAGTCTTGAAAATGTTATAAAACCCTGGTTTTGTATGGAACTACCACACAAAAATTACAAACTTTTATTTGCTAATAAATTAAAGTGAATTAACTAAGCAACTGGCTGAAAAATGTGCTGCAGGTAAATAAATGCCACAAAGTTACTTGTGAACTTTTAAAGAAAGCCATGTATCTTTTTTTTTGTTTTTTTTTTGTGGTTATTAATAATGTGCTGCTTTCTATGGTTTTTATAACTGGATTAAAATACATCAGTATTATTAGTCTTTTCTTTTTTTGTTTTATCGTTGCATTTAAATGACTTTTTTTCCTGACTTTCCACCCAGACCTCCAACAGCATTTAATCCATGTGAAAGACATTCCGAAAGAACTGCAGCTCGGCAAACAGGACAGGAAGTCCATTTCGGAGCAAGAAGAGGGAAAGCTCACACAGATTTCAGAGAGGCGTGACAAAATATGCCTCAGTCATCACAAAGAAGTAGTGCTGAAAGAGGAAAATGCATCTCTTTTCCCAAGTACTACATTTGATGAAGTTGGCCACAAAGTAGATCAGTCTGTCTTGTCCAATCCAGTGGAAGAGGAGTCCCTGGACACAGTATGTGAGCTCCAGAGGAGTTCCAGTGTAAAAGAACATAACATTGATGATCACCTTGTCTCTAACTATTCTGAAGATATGAGCAAAGATCAGACCCAAAGTAAAGACGGTGATTCAGTGGCAACCAGATACGTGGAGACCAGACTGCAGAGGAGGCAGCACAGATTCACTGAGTCACATAGCGTGGCCACGTTAAAAACTCCTATTAATACTCATAAGGGTAAAATCTCTGAGTTTATATGTGAATCCTGTGGAAAAGCTTTTCCATATAAATCCAGACTGATCCGGCACCAGGTAATCCACACGGGCGTGAAGCCATACTGCTGCCACACCTGTGGTAAGCGATTCAACCAGACCTCAATACTGAAGGTCCATCAGAGGATCCACACGGGTGAGAGGCCGTATTCCTGTGACGTCTGCGGAAAGCGGTTCAACCAGAAGTCTATACTGAATGTGCATAAAGAAATCCACTCCGTTGAGAGGCCATATTCCTGTGATTTCTGTGGCAGAAGATTCAAGCAGAAATCAAAACTGGAATCCCATGTCATATGGCATACAGGTGAGACAATTCTAAAAAACAAACAAAACAAAATGCTAATGTGACTACTTTAGAGAAAACTGATTTAAATGGAGATTATGCACTTATGTGACATATTGTCTCTTTCTTGCTTTGAATAATGTTGTGCACTAAATCGCCCAAACAACAGCAGATTATAAAATTGTACATTAAAAATAAAATTATAAAAATTTCAAACCAGAGGTTAGGGAGTTAAAGAAATGCAAGCATGCAGTGCAGCATAGGAAATTATTCTGAATAGTTATGAAGACAGCCTAAAATTTTGAAAATACAAGTGCAAAAAATTGTATCAAAAGATAAAAATGTGTGTGGTACATCTAAAGTAGTAGTTGAAGCACAATACAGTCAAATGGACAAAGAAATTAAACTTGTTACAACATTCAAGTAAACAGAATTAAAGGAACTCAAAAAGATATATATCCCCTGATAAATGGTGAATAAAGTTCAGCTGAATCCGTAAATGAAATATACAGTTAAATTTTTATTTCTGAAAAGTCAGCAGCCTCAGCTGCCCTTAATAAATCAGGAAGGCTTTTCTTATGGGCTAGAGGGATGTTAGAAGAAGAATATGACTCTTTAGAAATGTTAGTTTTATGTTTCCAAACAGTCTTAAAATGTACAGAATTACTTTCAGTGTTTTCCAGGTGGGAAGTCGGGTGAATTTTAAAACCTTTGCAGACTTTGCTTATATCTTATAGGATAAATATTTTCTAAAATGAGCTGGCCCAAATTGATTATCATTTAGAATTTTACTTCCGCTAGTTGCATGGTTTATTAATGTTTATTTATCTATATATATTCATTCTAGAAAACCATAACTGTGAATGTTTTATGAAGAAAAGCCTCTAAGATGATGTAAAATATAAAGATGGGGGGGAGAACCCAAGTATTTTTTTTTACCATAAACTTATTAGAAAAACAGCATAGGGATGTTAGTCTTGGTTTTAATTCTGATACTATATTGAATATTTTTTAACTCTATTATTTAAAGCATGGAACGTAAAAACGTCCAACATTTTAAGTCTGTAAATACCTCAGCTTTCACTTTGCTGAATGCCCATGAGTTCAATAAATTCCTAATAATTATTGTCTGATAGCAAACTACTGTAGATGGTAGCTCAGGTCACGCATGCAGATAACCTTGAAATCTATAAGTTTTTTTCTTTGGATTAAATACTAGTACATGTAAAAAATTGGCCAAGAAAAGGCATTTGTGCAAACCTTAAATGGAGCTTTTATACTTATGAATTCAAAAAATGATGTTAAATAGAGTTGAAAATCTGAAAATTCTGAGCAAGAACAGACATTTCAGACAGGAAAATGTGGAGGGACTTAATAATTCTTTCTTTTGGTTCTGTGAGATGAATCATAAACAACCATCAGGAAAATGTAATGTTAACTCTTTTGTTGTTCTCTTCATTTCCTACTTGTCTTTGCTTTTCTTTCTAGAAATCCCACAGCCGCTTTTCTTTAATGAAGAACATTTCCTGTCTGACCAGCAGCTCTTTAAACATGACCTGGACTCCACCTTAGGTTTGGAGTTTCCAAAAATCAAAGATGAACAGGAAGACTTCTTCTTGGGTCAGGACATGGAGAGGCTTGTGTTGAAGCAGGAGATGGACACGTTTATGGTGTCCCATGAGGAAGGAGACCAAAGCGTCGCTCAAACACAGGAAGAGGTTGCAGAGGTCACATCTGATCACAAAGGTGGAAAACAACAAGAGAAGATGAAACACAGAAACTATCATGTATATAATCCTATCCTGTTTAAGAGTTCTTGTAACCCTCACATGAATAAAAAGTGTGAGTATAAATGCAATTCCTGTGGGAAAGACTTTCAGTTTAAGTCCAGACTGATAAGACACATGCGAATCCATACGGGAGTAAAGCCGTTCTGCTGTCACATCTGCGGCAAGAGATTCAACCAGAAATCCATCCTGCAGGTCCACCAGCGGATCCACACCGGGGAGAGGCCTTTTTCCTGCGACATCTGTGGAAAACGCTTCAACCAAAAATCCATCCTGAACGTTCACAAGAGAATCCACACGGGCGAGAGGCCGTATTCCTGCCAAGTCTGCGGCAAGAGGTTCAACCAGAAGTCCATACTGGACGGCCACGTCAGGACGCACACGGGCGAGAGGCCATATTCCTGCAAGACGTGCGGCAAGAGCTTCAGAAGTCACTCCAGCCTGCTGGTTCACATGAAGAAGATGCACACAGACATGAAGGTCTACCCCTGTGAAATGTGGTAGAATTGTCAAACCCACGAAGGACAGAACTTACAGATTTATCCAACCTGTGAGAAGCATTTCTGTATTATGTAAAACGTTAGGTGAAAATCAGTATAAGACAAGTAAACTTGAAAAATATTCCTCTAGGTATTTTTGGGTAAAGATAGGCTGTTTTCACTCATGTTCTGCTGCAGCCCAACATTAAGTGATCTTAGTTGCATAATAAATATGAATTTTCATTTAGTGAAAAGACTTTCATATGAGAGACAAAAAAGATAATCATTATGGGAATGTATGTTTAGGACCTTTATTGCTTTGCTCATAGATTTTCCTTTTTAAAAAAAAAATTGCTTGTTTATCTGTGCAGGTCTGAAGAGTAGAAAAAAAATCTTATTGTGGCATTAGGTGAATTGCTTGCGCTTTTCATTCTGCTACAAGGAAATCATTGGAACATCCTCAGTAGCTACAGGATTGCTTCCCTGATAATATAAAACGCTAAATCTCATCTTAGAAACTAGTGTGTTTTACTCTGAGATGTTCCCATCATGGTAGGTATTATCATAGGTAAGTCCACCTATAAGTGCGTATCTGTTCCTCTGTACTTTATTGTGTTTTCTTTTGATACAGTATATATGCATATTCTTGTTGTATATGTATATTATCGGGGTAGGAGGTCAGCCACTGTGCTTCCATGTTGGGTTTTGGATCAGTGTCTAAGTTGATACACCTTTTTTTATTCATTGCACACTAAAGCACCTTTTTGATGTGAAATAATTGGTGCAACATTAGCACTTTCTTTGTTCCTTTAACATTTGAAAAGTTCAGACCTGATAGGAAAAACAAAGGACTGATTTTTTTTCTTTCTAGATTGTCCAGATTCTGCAACCTTAATCTAATATATTTCTAGATTAGAGGACTGGTTTTCTAGAGCATTTAGGTCTGGAAGTAAGGTGGCCACAAACCTCGACTGATTTTCTATTTCTGTTTTAATTGGCTGTATGTTAGAGTCCAATAGACTTGTATTTCAAAGGGCTCATTATGTCATTTTGTCTGGCATGGTTTCCAGACCCTTTAGAAGAGAAAGAGGCCGACTGTTCCACAAATTATCTTCTGTATTCAAAAACCTTCATGAAACATTTTACACCAAGTCAGCTTGATATCTTTGTGCAGAAAAGTTTAATTATAATCTTTTCATCAAATCCCTCGATTCCAGTTAATATCCTGGTAGAGTTGAGCAATTTCCATAGGTTGCATTTGTGTTGTTGGGAAGGAAAGGAATGCCTGGTTTATGTTGATAATAATTGTGCTACGGGTCATTTTTTGTTTGGACCTGTTATTTTTATTTATTTTTTTGTGAAATGTAGGATTTTCTTGCAATTTACTGTTTGAGATTATTCTGCCGCTGCAAAAGACTGATTAATGTCGAACCTTTTGCACATCTTTATCAAAGGGTTCCAGCGATGATGCTAAATTGTATTGGGATGAGTGAGTACAACTAATAAATCACAACAACACTAAAAGATATATTTTGGAAGAGTCAAATATGGAGGGGCTAGAGTCACTGAAAAACAAAAGCAGCCATTTCACATTTCGTAATTAAATCTTGCAATATGTAATCCGATTTTAAAGCATTTTCCAATGAAACACTTTAAATTGAATAATTAAAGAAAAGCTGTAAATTGCATTTATTAATCCGTCATTAAAAACCGGAAATTGAAAATAATTGTTTTAACACAGTTCATAAATCTGTCTATAAATACCTTTCTTAATTACACATTTAAAACAGTAATTCCTTATTCCGTTAATTTTTCACACCTTGCATTTTCAAATTTGCATCTCTTTTTACTTTTGCCTCTACATTTACCTTTTCCGTGAGCCCACTCAAAACCAGTTAAGCCAATCACTGATGCTCCTCAGATATAACTCTATTGGTTATTTTGTGAACAGAGTGTGGCCAAGATTAGGAAAGGTATTTATAATCACATTTATAAATTGTGTCTTTAAATTATTCTCATTTAGAGATGGGATTTGAAAATACATTTTCAAATTTCAGTATGTAATAACAGGTTAATAAACACAATTTACAATGCCTCTTTAATAATTCAATAAAAAAATGTGTATTAGAAAATGCTTTTTATATTGCCTGATTTGAATGTTACATTTGAAATGCCCGCTTTTCTTTTCCAGTGAGACTCTAGGTTCTCCATACACTACATGCTGGCTAAAGCTGTGAGATGTATACTCTTGCTCTGACAATAAGATGAGAAAAAAAGATGGTCAAAGGTTTTCCCAATTTGAAAATTTCCAATAGGGGTGAGCAGACTGATCTAGTTAGTACAAAGTTTAATGTATAAAATGATGAGTTAAAAGATCCATATAAGTGTTAACGAGACATAGCTGTGTAATTTTTTTCTCTGCGATACAAAGCTGTGTTTTGTAGTTTTTTTTTTTTCAAGCTTACATCGGCTTTATTTTAAGTAAATCTCCAGCTAATCTCTGAGACCATTTCATTCAGTATAAGGATCTATGGACCTGATGCCTAAAGTAGAATTTAACACAAATGTGTCAAGCAGCCTTATGTTTATTTAACCAGTTTATGAAGAATGGAGGACTTTCGCAATGTGCCAAGCATAAAGAGAATGTTGAACGTGTAGATTAATAAAGATTAAATAATCTGGTTTACCTATTTTGTCTGTAGTTTTAGTTTGGAGGTTTATCGTTCAGATCATAATTTGTACATTGATGCTCTACCATGATTAGATGTTACTTTTATTTGGACCAAAGTGTGAAAAGAATATGCCTTAAAATAAAATTTGAGAATTATGTTATCTTGTTTTCTTTTACATTTATCTTCTGTCATTTACTTTATGAAAAAATAAATACTGTCTGCAACAATTCGCTTAAATCCCTGCATATAAATCGTACATAAAACACACAGATCACAGTTTTCTGCTCTCCTAGAAAAAAAATCTAAACACATTAGATCCAAGCATTATGACTTGACGCCCTGGAACATGTGTTAAAGCCATTCAAACTCATATTTACCCCAAATTTAAGATCTTACTGGATAATGCTTTGGTTCTTTTATATAATATTTAACTAGCATAACGTTGCATCGCATCAGCCTCTTTTTAAACCATCACCATTATGTTTTTTCTTTTTCGTATTACTGCACCATAAGAAATCAATTATGACATAGGCTCAATTTTAAACAGTGAAATAATAAGTCTTTAAGCTTATTGTGGTTAATATCCTTTACTAGCAGTTGGATCTGTCTTCTGGGATTTCTTGTTAGAGCAGCATTTCAGTTATCACATCTTTCAGTGACTTTAGATCACACACAAAAATCTTAGTCTGTGTGGCCAGGTGTCCCCATACATTTCAGCCTGTGACAGCAAGAATAACGGCGCCACAGACTTCAGTCTTTATTTATTGTAATACAGATATTTAAATGTAATTTTTAAAATATCTAATAATTTAATACATGATTTACATACATTTCTAAATATTTAATGTAATTTAATTATTATGCATTATATAGTTTTGTGGGAATATCTAGTATATGAATTAGATAAATGGAGTAACCTTGGCTTAATTTTGACTTTAGATTAAACTTTTTAATGGGGCATTTAATTATTAATCGCATGTTTTTCTATTTTATGATATATTTGATATTTAAATCATGTTTTATATTAATAAATGTCACATTTGTCATGGTACATCCATTTACATTTCTGGGACATTTACATGAAAACGATCCTGCGACCCATCCCACTTTGTGTCTCGTGTACAAATAGGGTCTACAACTCCAGTCGTTGAGAAATACTGCTGTATTTTTTAAGTGCATTCCTGCTCTTACACAGAACATTATATTTTCACCATGCCATCAACATTTGGTATTTAGCCATCCATTTGATTCAGATGTGTTTGTACCATAAAGGCTGTTGGACAGGGTCTCTCAGCTGTCCCCCTCTGGGTCTGGTGTTGGTAACGTTTTGTGGCTAAATAGAATAGACTAAATAGATATTATATTGTGTCTTTACATAAAATGCCCTTTCATGGCAAGACTTATATTTATATATTTGTTTGCATCAGTGTATGAGGATAGAAAATTAATTAAAAACCGAATAAAAAAAACTTTTTTTAACTTAACTTCTTCTATTACAATTATTAGGTAAAGAGTTTGGATACAAAATATCTGTAGGAATGAAAGAGTATTTATGATTTAAAGGTACCTCATTAGTAAACTAATATATATTACTGCTTTAGGACAAAAACTGCCATTTTGCAAGTTCTCCCACTTAGAAATCATGGATAGTCTGAATTGTCATCGTAGGTGCTTGTCAACTGTGAGAGACATAATCTAAAAAAAAAAAATTTCCAGAAATCACAATATAAGATTTTTTAAACTATTTATTTTAGTGCTGTCAATCGATTAAATTTTTTAATCGCGATTAATCGCATCAATGCCTGAGTTAACTCGCGATTAATCGCATTTTAATCGCACATTTTTTTCCTGATTGAAAATCATTTAAATACTCTCGATGACATACAAAAAAATACATACAGGCTAGGTTTGTGCCAATGTTCTTTTTTTAAAATGAAAACAGGTCACAGATACTGATTTATGCCATAGAAACATATGGCAAGAAGATGGGGAGGCATGTAGCAAAAAATAACAAATATGTAGCCAAAAAAAAGGCCCTGAAAACAGGCTGATGTAAAAGACAGTCTTTACAGTTAATACAGTCTTTTGAACAAAGACAAGCATTTTACCCTACCGCTATAAAATGCAGTAGAGTTAACATTAGATGTTAATTAACCAAGGTAATAATGAACAATTTTCAATCAATACATCAAAATCAATAGACCGACATCACTAGATGAAGGTAGTCTATGCTCTCTAGAAAGTTACTTTTCAGCCTCTTAACAAAAATGAGAACACACACACACCCACTCACCCACACACAGACACACCCACCCACACACACACACACGCGATACTGACCTGTTGCGT